GTCCTTTTCAGGGACACCACCAAGTCATTGGTTCAGGTATGTTGACGACACCTGGGTTAAAATTAAATCTCAGGAAGTCCAACATTTTACTGACCACATCAACTCTGTGGATAAATACATCAAGTTCACACGAGAAGATGTAAAAAACGGCAAGTTGGCTTTCTTGAACTGTGAGGTCTCAGTCTCTGATAGAGGACATTTGCAAACTGAGGTGAGCGTAACTCTGGACCCCCCCCCCGTCCCCCCGCTGCTGGCAGACGTGCCTGCTTACCTGCAGCGAGCCGCGCACCTGCCTCCCCAGAGACATCGCTCCAGACGCCGTGGAAAACGCGCTGGCCGGCTGGTGAAGCTTAAAGCCCTGCCTGCTGCCTCTGAATCATCCTCTCCAGCTGATGGTCAACGTTTCTGATCCTGGCGCTGTGCAGATCCTATGTCGAGCTGTCTGGTCCCGCTGTCGAGGTCACATTGGGCCCGTGCGCGGCTGGGTTTCCTGCCGGAGGCGCGCGTCTAACTCTGCAAATCTGAGGCCGCTGGACTGGACACTGCAACCATCTCCTCCTGTGGTGGATTCTGCGAGGATGGCCCTGATAAATGCCAGATCGCTGGCTAATAAAACTTTAATTTTGAACGACTTCTTCTGCTGCAACCGACTGGACTTTCTTTTCATCACTGAGACCTGGATCTGCCCTGATGAGTTCAGTGTTTTTCTGGAATTACTGCCTCCGGATTGTTCTTTTTTCAATGCTCCAAGGACAACTGGTCGTGGTGGAGGATTATTGGCTGTTTTTAAGAAACATTTGCACAGCAGACAGCTCCATGGTTCAGCTAATTATTTGAGTATTGAACTGCTCTGTTGTGAGCTGGGCCGCTCCAACCCAGTTCTGTGTGCTATTTTTTACAGACCCCCCCGGATATCATAAACAGTTTTTAAATGAACTATCTGACTTTCTAACTGGTGTTCTGCTCCAATATGATCGGGTTTTGATTTTAGGAGATTTTAATATCCACGTGTGCTGCCCTGATAAACCATTAGCTCGGGACTTTCTAGACCTCATCCAGTCCTTTAACTTTGTTCAGAGTGTTGTTGGCCCGACTCACCAGCAGGGCCACACTCTTGACTTAGTTTTAACGCACGGTTTGTCTGTTTCTGATTTAGGGGCCGTTTACACGGCACATATTTTGATTGCATGCGCTCCTTTCTCTCTGCGGTTCTGCTGATCATTTACACAACACCAATGGCCCCCCCTCTTTGAATCCGGAGGTTTTTGAACCCAACTCCCAGAGTAGAGGTTTTTCGCTGACCCCCCGCTGATTAAGTTAACATCTCCTGCTGAAGCTTTGTGTTAAACCACATGCGCACGCGCGGACAGACACTATATTTCTGTCAACATGGCGGCGGACACACTGCTTTCAGAACCTCGACTGATGGAATATATTTTAATCTCGTAGTTAATCTACGTCAGATTCTAGGTGCTGTGACCAACATCTGTGTTGGAAGAGACACAGTCTGATCCAGTTCTAATGTCGCTGTTTATAGAACGAGGCACGCGCACACGTCACGCTCTCACTAAAACATCTAAATGTGCTAAATAATAACAGTTTAATAATAATAATAAACAGTATTTATGTTAGTGTGAGATATAATGAAGCTCTTAGCTAAATGAAGCTATCTGGACATGATGTAATTCAAATTTAAAATGATGCTAAACATGTAGCGTGAACACTAAAGTTGAAAATGAAGACATCAGGTTTAATTTTTATTTATTTATTCAACACCACAAACTGTATGTCACACAAACACTGATAATTAAACTGAACACACTATTAAAAACAAGTTAACTGAACTTGAATGGATTGAATAAAAGAACTGAGGGGAATTTTAAATAAATAGTTCATCCAACATCTCTCTTCAACGTCCTCCTGCAGTTCATCTGGGCCAACCCTTAACAAAAAGTCGTGCATTTGAAGTTCATTTTTGCAAGTATACTTTAAGTTAAGTATAAGTATATCAAGTATACTACACACCATACTTGTAGTGTAATAGAAAGTATACTGATTTAATACTTGTTTGGACTAAATTGGGCATTTTACACTATTTTTAAGTATATCAAATAAAGTTTATAAAAAGTAAACTTCAAGTACACTTCCTCATTTTTAGTGTAAAATAAGTATACTTGTAGTGCACTTAAATAAACTACTTTTTGCTAAGGGAAGCCTCGTTCAGAACCGGTCCGCCTGGTGGGAGGACTGCTCCTTCTTCTTTCAGGAAAAATAAAAACTCAGTTGGTTGTTTTGTAACCGAAGTAAACACAAGCTAACATTATTAAGAACATTTGATTTACCTGCAGTAAAACAGCTACTGATGATCACGGAGTAAAGTCCGACATCATCGACTCGGTTCTGGTCCACCCAGTGACCGGTGTGGAGCTGTTAGATGAAGCGGTCCCACTTGGCGTCAAATCTGTCAACTCTTATCCAAAATCCAGCCAGAATCCAGCTTTAACTTGTTGTTACGTTTCATTGTTGTTAGCTGGTTAGCACAGAGGAAAGGAGCGTGCCGAGGCAGCAGCATGCGCATTAGGTGAAGGTACAAATTTCACAGCGCCAACTAATGACCCGGCATGGTAACTACAGTAGATTCGGGGGGGAATCCTCCGGATGCATGTAAACCCAAAATGCGACCGTGTCAACGCAAATCTTTTCCTCTAATTAACATATGAAAAAACCTATGTTTCCCCCATCGTGTCCGTGTACATAGGGCCT